CAGAAAAGTGTCATCATTACATCGCAAATTATTCCACAAAACTGGCAACTGAGTGAGTCTGCTGCTAATTTGTAGTCGTAGAAAAAATAGCGTAAATAACTCGTTCGAAAACTTCTTTGTACACTCGTTCGACTTGTGGCTCTCGCCTGCGGCTCTAGCCAACAAACTGTCGAACTCGTGTGCAAAGCGTCGTTTTCGAAACTCGTTGTTTAATATACTATTGTTATGTATATTACTTACCGGGTGGTGCATCGTCGTTGCAAACATAGGAAATCCCATGCAAATTTTGAACTGTCCAGATATTGGCTCCCCTATTGATTTTATAGCGAAGTGGTAAATAGATTCTTTAAGGTCTACGTTTGGTAAACTGTGTCACATTTAAACAATTTTGGACAAGCCGATTTTGAGTAATTTGAAAAAAATTGAATCGATTTTTAAATTAAAACTGAATAGGTAACAATCAAACACCAGTCAAAAACCGACATACCTTAAGTTGTCAACATCATTTTCAAACGTAACTTAGGCTGTATTCCGTTGCAAAACCAGGCGAACCAGGCTTGTAAACTACGGTAAAGAGCGGTTCCTGAAAAACATCGGTTTGATATGGAACGGTTTGGTGAAATACTGGACACGTCAAATATTGACGTTTTCTAAATTTCAATACCTCTATTATAAAATTTATCTTTTATGCATTTTTAATGTACCTATTCTCTGCTTTTACGTTTGCTTCTTCTTTTCAATGGAGTTTAATATTGAAAAGTACTTTATTAATAAACTGTTAAACTCGTTGGACAGCTCAAGTGAAGATTTGCAGGTCCAATATTAAAACAGATCAATAATAAATAAACAAATCTAATCAATATTTATATTTTTATAGCTTACAAAACATTCACGATTACTTGTCTTTGATGTTTTCTCGTTTAAACTTGTTTTTCATGTTTTCTTTAAATGTTCCTGACTTTAAGAAACAATGGCTGCATGATAAGTTTAAATGGTCCTAAAAAAAGTCATTCTATTTAGTTAATGAAATTTATTTACCTTTACTGCCTACCTCCATATGTTTTGGATGTAAATACATAATATTATAACAAATTTTAGAAATTGAATGAGAATTTTACTCAAACTTCCAGTATTTGCTTGATTTCTGTCGCATAAATGACATGATTGACAAACAAAACCAGACAAACCAGTCTTCTCGCGCTGGTTAGTTTGGTGACAGTTATAACCGAATTTTTCAGGAACCGTGTTCCGTAATAAGAAAACTTTCAGGAAACCGATAGAAACGGAACATAAAACCATAACCAAGGTAAGCAACGGAATACACCCTTAATTTTAATAAAATTTAATATTCAGTACTAGTAATAATTTATGGTTACACACATAAAGAAAAAGTGAGCATGATAACATGCTACATACTACGTGGGAAATAGCTTAGACAGTGTATCTGACGTGTTTCGGTTTTTTTCTCCCGAATATTAAAAATTAAATTACTTTTGACAATTACAACAAGGAATGTCAGATTTTGATTGGTGTTTGATTGTTACCTGTTCGGTTTTAATTTAAAAATAGATGCTATCTTTTTTAAATTACTCAAAATCGGCTGGTCCAAAATTGTTCAAATTTGGCGTGTATTTACCATTATTTACCGTGTATTTACTTTAAAAAGATTTATTTACGACTTTGCTGTAAAATCAATAGGGGAGCTAATATTTGAGCAGTTCAAAATTTGCATGGGATTTCCTGTTTCCAACGACGAGGCACCACCCGGCACCCGGTATATAAAAACATACAATAGGTCTGTAAGGACGCGGTGATGACCCCCCCTACAAACATGTAAAAAAGTGTAATAAATACAAAAAATGTAATCGAACAATCTCGAAATTTGTTACATTTAGCCGTATATGCTGAGCACCCACGAGGTTTTATAAAAGCCGGCGCGGCGCCCCTGGCTGGGACCAATATGAATATATAATTAGAGAATATTTGACATTTCCCTATATGTAGGTATAGGTAGGTATTCCTCATTTGTGAGATATAGTACCCTAGAAAAAAAATATCAGTCATAATTATTAAAGAAAATATACAATAGTTTTTAATATTTAAAAAATCTGTTATAAAAAACTCATAGGCGCTATTGAAAATAAATTTTATTTTTTTAACATATTCTTATTCATTTTTTATAAAATTATTTTTAAGAAAGAGGAGCAAATACAACTTACAAAATATAATAATATATAACAAATAAGTATACACTACGTTTTATACAGGGTGTCCCAGGCTGAGAGTGCATTAGAAGTTTCTAGAGAACTACTATATCTAGATCGGAGATTTTTTGCACATTGCTCTTTCACAACGAGATCTATCGATTAAAAATATTTACAATATGGCGGCACTTCCGGAAATACCGGAAGTTGACAGCAACTCTCTTATTTTAAATAGGTACACCCATTTTTTATTGCATATTTAAATTATCTGTAAAATTTTATGAATTTTGATATCAAACACTCTATACCTAACATTAACCGTTATTGATAAAAAAATATATTAAAATTTTTGGAGAAAAAAAACCGCCTGTCAAAAACATTTCTATAGCCTAAACGACCAATTCAGTGATTACCACAGCCACTATGGCATAAAGAGAAGACATGTGGCTATCTATTTAAAAAATTAAATTGTTCGAATGTCATATAATATAGGCCGTAGCTGTCATGGAATTGAGCGATTAAAAAACTAATAAATCATTTTTTTCAAATGGAAACCCACTTTTTTTAATTTTACTAATGGAAAGGTTTTTCATTTCATTACTTTTTGACTATACATGTTCCTATACCTAAAATAAATCGTTTTTAAGTTATTTAAGATTTAGTTTTAAAGCGTAATTTTTTCTTGATTTTATCTAGCTTCCTTTGACATTAAGTGTCAAACCATCAGACAATTTTTTCTTCTGTCAAAAGACTCATTATTCGAATTTCCTATATTATAAATACTACTGGTAAAACTTTCTGAAGTGTATTTATAAAAATATATCTCGTATTTTAGTGATAACTAAGGGCAATATGACCAGATATAGTTCTTAAGGCCCTCACAGACGTCGTTCTTTTTCGGCAGGATTACTCGACGTGCAAAAATATTCGAGCAATTCGGTCGGTGTGTGGCTGAAAACCGTCGTGATTGCCGGCGTTCCAAATAATCTGTTTTGACCTGATTTTTCTCGTCGGTTTTGAACGTGATCGTGCAAGTCGGCCCGTGTGTGGTATGCGTACCGGTAATCACGATATATATTTCTAAAAATTGGCAATGTTAAAATGGCTGATTTGAGGCAATGCAGTAAACAATTTTTGGGCGAATTTATAGAAATGTACAGAAATTTTCCATGTCTTTGGAAAATTAAATCTAGTGAATACACAGACAGAGATAAGAAGAATAAAGCTTATGAAGTTATGTTATCCAAACTAAAAGTCGTCTCCAACAAATTAATGTGAGAGAACTGTTTTCTTTTTAGAATCCACTTTTTTGTCCATTTAGAGCGTTTTCTCTTAGCATATTTAACTTTTATAACTAAAACCGTTGCTAACGCCACTGTTGTATCCATAATTACGACAATACTGAAGAAAGCCTGAATAAAATACTGAATAGTATGTGGGCGCCACCAAGTTCGTGATTACCCAAACAGTTTTGCACGTCAAGTAATCCACAGAATATACTAACGAAAAAGAAGCCCAAGTTCCTTGTAATAAATCGGTTCCATTTTCGTAACGCCATCTCTCGACAAAGCTGACATTTACAGGTTAGCCAAAGGGGTGCGGGGCCGGGGGGAATTGTAAAATACACTTTTTTTATTTTAATTATTTTTATTCGCTATTTGCAATTTTATTTTTAAAACATATTATTTGAAACAATCACATAATATGTCTTATAAATAAAATTACAAACGGAAACAAAAGGAATTAAATAATCTGAAAATCTACAAAGTTTATTGATAAAATATTAAATATAACCTCTTTGGTATAACCAGGGTATAACATTATTAAACAAACATTAACAAATCATAACATATCAGATCATAGAACTAAAAAAAGTACTATTACATAAAAACAGGTGATACAATACTTCAAAATTAATTTTAGCATAATATCAAAACCGAAAAATCAAACTGCAAACACAACCACACTTATCACAACAGAAATTAACACAAACTTCCGCGGCAAATGTCCAAGAAAGACTGATCATTCTGATTGGTCCTGGTCCGGTCGTAGCCTGGTCGTAGCTCACGTCGTATTGTCGGTAAGCAAAATCCCTGTCCAAAAATCTTGACGATCAGCGCCATCACCCGTCATAATTGGGAAACTTTTGCTGGAACCATTTTGAATATTTCACTTACATGGCCCTGGAGTAATCCTGCCGAAAAAGAACGACGTCTCTGGGAGCCTTTACGTCGTGCGACGTTTAAGTCATAAACTACTGGTTAAAAAACAAAAAAATTATCGATTGATTTTAGGTATAGGAACACGTATAATCAAAAAGTAACGAATTAGAAAACCTTTTCACTAGTGAAATAAAAAAAGTGGGTTTCCATTTGAAACAAAATTATTTATGATAATTTTTTAATCGCTCAATTCCATGACAGCTACGGCCTATATTATATGACATTCGAACAATTTAATTTTTGAAACAGATAGCCACATGTCTTCTCTTTATGCCACAGTGGCTGTGGTAATCACTAAATTTGTCGTTTAGGCTATACAGATTTTTTTAACAGGCAGTTTTTTTCCTCCAAAAATTTTAAATATTTTTTTTCTCAAAAACGGTTAATGTTAGATATAGAGTGTTGATATCAAAATTCATAAAATTTTACAGAGAATTTAAGTATGTATTAAAAAATGTGAATACGTATTTAAAATAAGAAAGTTGCTGTCAACTTCCGGTATTTCTGGAAGTGCCGCCATATTGAAAATATTTTTAATCGATAGATCTCGTTGTGAAACAGTGATTGCAAAAAATCTCCGATCTAGAAACGAAAGATTAAAAACTTCTAATGCATGCTCAGCCTGGGACACCCGGTATATCTATCTTTTAAATAAAAAAAATGTCTGTAACGCTAAAATGTAATTAATAATATACAATTCTCACTATTCAGTTTCTTTGTTGATTATGGGGATAAGGTACTGCGGCATCCTGAAACAAAAAAAACTTTTATTACGGGGATGATACGACTGGGGATAGGATTTTTTCCGATATATATCATTAACTATCGATAGCTATCCATATCCATATTAAAGAGAAGAAAAAGATTAAACTGCTCAGCCCTCAACAACTCGTAACCGTATACACCAGTGTACACCAGTGCAGACACGCACACTCACACAACCACACTTTTTGGACACTCTCGTGGAAGACGTGAGGAGGAGACATGACCCAGTCGTAATCGCTGGTGACTTTAACGCCTGGTCCATTGAATGGGGCAGCCGTGAGACGGACAGAAGAGGTAAAACCATTCAAGAGGCTTTCTCATCATTAAACCTCATTCTTATGAATGAGGGAAATACGAGTACCTACCGTAAAGGCGCCGCGAGCTCCATCATCGACCTAACATTCATTAGCAGTGTCCTCTCAAAAGGAGGCTGTGAATGGAGAGTCGATGAGGAGTTTACAAATAGCGACCATCAGGCTATAATCTGGGAAATCAACACCCATCCCAGCAGCGGTCGGCGCCAGGGGATCACAAGGAGGCAGCCATCAGGCTGGAACGGCAAACGTTTGGATGCGGAGACCTTACAATTCATGATGAGGGCCTCACCAGTACCCCGAACAACAACTGCAGAGGGGATCACGGAAGAAGTAGCAGCCATTTTGGAGTCAGCTTGCGACGCGTCGATGCCGAGGAGTGGACAGAACAACGGCCGGCCACCAGTTCATTGGTGGAACGCGACCATCGCCCAGCACCGGCGAGAGTGCCTCAAGGCAAGAAGGCAACACCAGCGTGCCCGAAAGCGCGACAGGGCCACAACAGAGGAGCTCAGACAGATTTAGGAAGAGAAAAGGCGTCTCCTGGCGAAACGCCATCAGCTCGAGTAAGCCAGAATGCTGGAAGGAACTCTGTGCGGAAGTGGACCAGGACCCGTGGGGCAGACCGTATAAAACGGTCATGCATAGGATTAAAAGCCTACCCTCAACAACACCAACTTGTCCCGACAAGCTGCACAGAATAGTGGTACACCTATTCCCGGAAAAACCAGAACTCCCCGAATTCCACCCAGAGGATGGAGAAGTGGATATCCCCGGAGTAACCATAGAAGAGCTCACGAAGGCCTGTACTAGGTAGAAGAATGGCAACGCACCAGGACCAAGCGGCATACCCAACATCGCACTCAAAAGTGCAATTGCCGCGAGACCGGACATGTTTATAAGCATGTACGACGCCTGCCTGCAGCAAGGCGTATTTCCGACCCGATAGAAGCAACAACGACTGGTTCTTCTTCCAAAAGGGAAGAAACCACCGGACGACCCAGCCTCTTTTCGTCCACTTTGCATGCTGGATTCAGAGGGGAAAAACTTGGAGCGGATAGTGGCCGACAGATTGGAGCAATACATCGATCCTCAATTTTCTGAATTCCAATTCGGATTCAGGAAGGGGAGATCGACCATCGACGCACTGGAACTCGTCACGAACATCGCAAAGGAAGCCATCTCAGGAAAGAGATGGAAAGGCGGTTCCAAAAAGTACTGCTTCATCGTCACCTTGGACATCAAGAACGCGTTCAACTCAGCCCGCTGGGATCGCATTTTGGAGGCTCTCGAGCACATGGGTATACCCTACTACCTACGAAGGATGGTCAGATCATATTTCAGCGATCGACTTCTGCTTTACGAGACGGAGCAGGGAGCAGCGGTGCATGGGGTCACGGGAGGGGTACCTCAGGGCTCTGTCCTGGGGCCACTCTTGTGGATTGTTATGTACGACGGTCTGCTCCACCTTGAATTACCGGCCAACACAACACTCGTGGCTTTCGCGGACGACGTGGCGGTTGTCCTTGTGGCGAAATACTTGGAGGAGCTAGAAGCTGCGTTCTCCATCACCATCAGGAGGATAAGACAGTGGATGCAATCGGCAGACCTGTCGCTGGCGGAGCATAAAACTGAAGCACTCCTAGTGAGTAGCCGGAAGAAAATGGAGACCATCACCATCAGAGTAGGCGACGATGATATCAAGTCGCAACCCCATATCCGGTACCTTGGAGTGGTCTTGGATGAGAGCCTCAACTACAAGGAGCATATCTCCAGCGTCAGCAAGTAGGCGGGAGCAGTTCAGGGCGCACTCTCACGGATAATGCCCAATATCGGAGGCCCCAGGCAATCCCGGAGACGATTACTTGCAACAGTAGTTACCTCCGTCCTGCTATACGGAGCACCGGTGTGGTCAGAATCGCTGGAACTAAAAACATATCGCAGGGCAATGACATCAGTCCACCGACTCTCAGCGATCAGAGTGGCGTCAGCATACCGGACGGTATCACAGGATGCAGTGAGTGTAGTGGCATCATGCCTGCCAATTGACATCTTGGCGGGAGAACGCCAGCGACAACACCGTAAGAAGAAAGCCGAGCAGCGACAGGTCTTCTGTGAAGAAGAGAGGCCTGAAAGTCATCGTCTCTGGCAAGTGAGATGGGACAGCTCGACGAAAGGTCGGTGGACACATCGACTAATCCCGGATGTCACCAAATGGATCACCCGTGTGCACGGGGAGGTTGGATTCTACATCACCCAACTCTTGACTGGGCATGGATGCTTTCAAGCATACTTGCACAGATCCAAGAGAAGTGACTCCCCGAACTGTCACCATTGCCGCGTGGTGACCGAAGATGCGGAGCACGTGTTCTTCCGATGCCCTCTATACGATCAGATAAGGACAGAATTCGAGAGAAATCTAGGCTTGTCCATTAGCCCAGAAAATATAGTGGACTGCATGCTGAAGAGTCAATCGGCATGGAACAAGGTAGCGGAGTATGCTGAGACCATGCTCAAGGATCTTCACAAAAAAAAACACACAACCACACTTACACTAGTGTACATTGATGTAACTGCCTTCAGGCTTCATCAGTACGGTAAGGAATCAGGAAGCGATGAAACCGATCCCAAAACACAAAAAACAGGAAGCAAACGATGCAACGAGGCACCGTGTGCAACCCAGGAGATGGAAAAAAAAATGACGAAGAAGCGAAAATAAATGATGGAAAATAAAAGGAGCAACCGGGAGCCAAAAGCCCCAATTTGCAGGCAAGAGATAACATGCATATCCATATACAGGGTTGTTCACCACATACGACACAGAGTATTGTAGCTAAACGATTAGACTTTTACAAATTGTAATTTTTGGGTTCGTTTAAGAACTATTAGAGCTACAATTTAAAAATATTTTTACAAGATACAGAGTGTCCCAAATAAATAAAAAATAACAAAGTTGTTTTTATTTTTTACCTATCTCTTCAAGTTCAAATTTTTGAAGAGTACAGATACTAATATTGTCGATATAGCTTGTTTATTTCATTAAAAAATAAAAAAAAATTGTTTAAATATTTGTTAAAGAGGAGCAATTAATATGATTCCAATATTCAAACTACATTACTTGACTGTTTGCGTTGATTAATATTAATTGCTCCAAATACTAAAAAACTGACTTTTGTATGTGTATTAGACAGTGTGGTAAAAAGTATCACCTTAAAAATTATATTTCATTTTTTGACATATGCGTATTTATAACAACAGAGACATTCATTTTCATAACTTATTATTATATTGATTTCTGATTCAATTCTACATTTATTTAGAATAGTTATTTAACGAACATAATTAAGTATGTAATTAATTAGTATTTGGGCGGAAATAATGGTGGTATATTTAATTAATGGTATACTCTTTTATAAAGATTTAAATAGTTTTCTTTTTGCATACAAATGGGCTAGTAATATTATCATTTTGCTAAAAACGATAATATTACTAGCCTGTACATTTTGTACATTTGTTGCTTTAAAAACAATCTAAAATGTCAATAATCCATGGGTATATTGATCAATCAGGTCTAAATTATAAGAAAATGCATTTTCTACGAAAACTTGAAGGGATAGGTAAAAAGTAGTATAATACAATTTGATGGACAATTAAAATGTGCATCTGATTCTCCTAAAATATACAGGGCGTTCCATTTAAATTAACAAATTATTGCCGTTTAAAGCTAGAAATAATTTAAAATAAATTTTTAGAAACTCTGTATGAGGTAGTATTATTTTTATTATTGCAACACAATAACAGATCAATAAATAGACTTCAGTAGATATTTAATATTAAAAACTTTGATACCCTTGGAGAAATGAAGCCTTAAAATGTTTACTGCAATTTCACAAAATTGAAAATATTTCAAAAACGGTAAGGTTTAAGTGTAATAAACCTTAATCAAATTTACCTTTATTTTAATCGTAGAAACTGAAAATGTAATAATATACAGCGTGTTCCATTTAAAAAAATAAAACTTTGATATTTTTTATTTATTTGGGACAGTCTGTATCTTGTAAAAATATTTTTAAATGTAGTAGTAGTAAAAAAGTAGATGTAGCTCTAACAGTCCTTCAACGAACCCAAAACTTACAATTTGTACAAATCTAATCATTAGCTACAATACTCCGTGTCGTATGTGGTGAACAACCCTGTATATATCGAATACCCAATAGGAGGCTTCAAATTATTGATACCTACTGATATATATCGAAACTGTCGATGTACTGATAGCATTCCGATAAGTACTGGATTTTAAGAATTGAAGAGTGGAAATACTAAAGAGGGCGAGTGCCAAAATTATTTTTTCGAGATAAATGAGAAAAACACAGTAGAACTTAAAATAATAAATTTTTAAAATATCTTTTAAAATACATATAATCGAGCATATAATATACATACATAAAAAATAGACGTTTTCGCTTGGGACTTGTAACTTTTGTTAGGACATGCAGCATGGTATTTATTACGTGTCTAATGCAATAACGTAATATTGAAAAATTCGGCACTTACCCCCTTTGGTATTTTCACTCTTCAATTATAGATATATGATATATATAGTATGTCCCCGGATTGTCTTTACAAGAGGAAAACCGAGGGAAAAACGTTTGCATTCTTCATAAAAATTTTTGCTTGTTCTAAAATTGTTAATCTCCTTTATACTTTTCACAATTTCCATACCGTTTAGGAGAAAATTAAATAAATCATAAAAATATGATCGAATTCTTTCTAAGTTTTAAAAATCAAAAGGCGTTTCTATGGTAATATCATTTCGATTTCATTCTTTGATAGATGTTTATTTTTTTGATCAACAAGTTCAGGATCATGATTCTCGTAAAGTCTTCTTTGCTTGGATATTCACTTTGTTATTGCAATTATTAGGCAGTTGACAAAAACTGATGGTTAAAAAATGTAGGTACTTATTTTAACGTATATATAACAATGCGATTTAATAATCTTAAAATAAACTAATTTAAAAAAGTGCCTAAATGTTTGGGAAAATTTAGATATATATGTAAAAATGCTTATTTTTTTCCAAAATTACTGATAATAATAATTGAAGGGGTGGCTGTAATAACCAGGCAACTCCACTTTTTTCGAAAATGAGATTTTTAATGCCATTTAAAAAAATTGGCTGATCGTTTCCTGCAACAGTAAGTTCTTCTGCATTTAAGATTGGTAGGTGGGTGGAATAAACACTGTTATTTTTTGTTATTATATTATAACAATTTTATTTATTTTTTTTATAAATAAATATGTTTATAAAACAGTACAATTTCTGCTTTTTTTTATAATTTCCCTTATAATAGTAGTATTCTTTCGTTCTGAAAGAAACTGAACATTTTCACTTAAACTGATTTATTCCCTACACCACGTTTCCTTTACGTGGTATAGGGATTAAATCAGTTTAAGTGAAAATTTTCAGTTTCTTTCAGAATGAAAGAATGCTATACTAATTTCCCGCCAGTCAGAATAAGCGATAATGTCTTATGACACGTTTTATACCTATCTCGTTCTTTTTCATATGAAGCACACATAATAAAGAAAGATAGCAATAAAGACGTACGTCGTGCCATGGTCCTGCTAAATGGTTTCAAAATTGTTATTCTGAGTTGCGTTACGGGAACGCGATCCCACTCTTTACCATGAGATTAGTCCGTCTCTTTTTATTTTTTGTCTATAGTGCTTCCTTAACATTTTTAAAACAGCAAAAAATATGACGTTAATTAAAAGGCCTTTTTTAACTAATTTGAGTGGGGTAATATTAATTAACGTCATATTTTTTACTGTTTTAAAATGTTAAAGAAGCACAATATTTATTTAGTTTATTGCTACGGAAAGGGTGCTAATAGTTGTCGGAAAATGTGATACTTTAACGACAGCAATCAATATGACATTAATCAAAATTAATAATAACAGTCTATCAAAGAATGAATTCGGAATGATATTACCATAGAAACGCCTTTTAATTTTTAGGAGTTATGTATGGGAAATTAAAATAACTTTCGTTGCATATCATAATACGACCACCAGCAAACTCCATAAGACGACGGACGCAGGTGTCATTGATGACGTGCAACGAAAGTTGTTTTAATTTCCCTTTATACTATATTTTCATGTTTTTTTTTAATTTTCTCTAAAACAATATGGAAATTTGGAAAAGTATAAACAGGTTAATCAATTGAGAACAAGCAAAAATTTTTATGAAAAATGTGTTTTTCTCAAAATGTAATAAAAAAGTAATAAAAAAGTTTTTCCTCTTTTAAAGACAATCTGTAGATAATACTGTAGATAACAATCGAGATATTTTGTGCATAGTTATGGATATATCGAAATTTATACTTGTGTGTTTTTATTCACCTGTCTTAAAACAGTTTCTTAAATTAGTTATATAAACTTTTCAGAATTATTATGTAAAATAAGGTATATTTTCAGTTTTCCTTAAAATCTGATAATACCACTTCTATATTGGATACGATTAGTGATAGATTTTTTTTTGATATATTAATAATTACCAATTACAGACAATTAGATCCACATGAGAGCGTCAAAATTAATATATGTAAAGAGAATATGAACAGAGATAATGGTCCAATTCCTTCCAGTTCTTTGTTCCTATTACTCTAGCATTGGTAATTAATTGTTACATCCGCTTGGTAGTTTTTCAATGCTTGGTCAGTGCTGAGTGCCTATATAAACGTTCAATTTGTAGATAATAGGTTAGTTTTCATCATCTGCTGATGAGGCTAACATGGTTAGCCAAACGTGCGTTCGGTGCAAAAGTAAAGTGCTTGTGGTGAATTAGTGTTTTATTTTGGTGTTTTAACATCAAAGGTTCCAACCCCCAACTGTAATGATCATACGGTACTTTCTATTAGGAAATATCTTCCAAAGAAAAATGCTGAAAATTCTTCACCTATTTTATAACTACTTTACTATAATTTTGCTTCCAATCGTTAATTTCTTCGAAGGAAAAATAATTTTGAATTGACTGAATTCAATGGGCGCGCAATGTTAAATAACGGACAAATCTTGGAGACGGACAATGCGTTTAAATAACTGAACACTATACAACATTAGATACGAGTGATGCTGGAAATGTTTCTGTACTTACGGTAACATTTGGATTTTGCTGTACATATATACGGTTTACTTGGCGATGATGGTGTCTTTGTCGCTGATACGCAGCTACGCGTCGATGCGCAGCTGCGAGTTGCTGCGCACCTACGCGTTGCGCCTGGCCTATTCCAATTATATTCATATTCGGAAACTGCTAAAACAAAAAAACTATCTCAAATATCTAAATACATTTTTTTAGCTTTTAATAAACATAAGTAAAAATAAAAAAAAAAACAAATAAATCATATTCGAATAGAAATTTAAGCTTTTTGGTTTTACCGAATTAAGTAATTATTATTTTGGCTTCTACGTTGTTATTTCTGACCAAGAAAAAATCAAAGATTTTTTTTGATTTAAGTAAGAACAATCTTCGGATTGTCACGGGGTTTCTAACACTGTCTGTTCAACGAACACCTCAGTAGACTGAAGCTGAGAAACAACGGTGAATTTTCTGCGGGGAAAATGGGGAAACGCCAGAACATCTCATCACTGAAGGCACCGAGACTACAACCGTTCGTGCCCTCACAGATTAAGTATATGTATATGTATACAGATAAAAATCTTGTCCTTAATTCGTGGTACGAAAATTTTTTTATGACGATGAGCAAACGAGTAAAATTTCCTGTGCGCAAAAATAAACTCGAGTTTAAACAGCGTAAATAACTGGGCCGGTCAGGCGCTGTGCACAATTTTAGACGCCATAAATGGGCGTGCTATGTGCGCAAACTAGTAACCTAACTAGTGCGCGACTCAGAAAATTGGAACCACGAAAAACAATGCTTTTGACGATAAGTTTATAATCTGTGGTGCCATAAACTTTGGCACGGCTAAAGTCGGAGATGGAGAGTTGGCCTCAGCGGAGCCGTCTCAGATACTGGCTTTTGTCAAAGCCCTGAAACTGTATGATATAACAATGATGTATATGATACAACTCGTTATAACTCAAGAAAGGAGAACACACAATAAGATATTTATTGGGACTGAACAGTAGAATTCACTGCCAGAATTTCTTCAAAAATTTTAAAATACTGAATCTTCCTTCTTTATTCATTTTTGGATCCGTTTGCTTAATCCGCAAGCACATATCTGCTATTCTCGAAAGGCTATCTCACAACTATCCACTTAGGAATGCGGAGCACGATCTTTATCTGCCAACCCCGAGCTCAGAGCTAGTTAAAAGCTCAATACTGTACAATGCCAAAAAATGTTCAATTATCTGCCTTTGAATATCAAGTCGCTTTCATTCTTTCCCGCATATCGCAAATTTCTGAAATCATACTTACTGGACTCTATATGCGGTAAATGACTTTTTTGTTGATGTTTAATCATGAACAATTTTGAATTTTAAAATTTTGATCATCTCACACACTGGTTAAAGGTTTAGTATTTAATATTTTATAACTCTTACGTGATTATATCCATTCACAATTTTCCTATTGTAAAATTTTATTGATACGCCTTTTTTTGTGTTCTGCAAAGTCCATGTATGTTTTATTTGTAATTTTAATGACGTAAATTTTTTTGAATTGATTTGTATTGTATGATATTTTTTATTATTTGTATATTTCTTTTTGTACAATAAAGCGTTATTTATTATTATAATAGATCTGTAAGGTCGCGGTGATAAACTCCCCTCGTAAACATTCTACATTCTACAGTGCAAGTGGCGAAATACCTTTTGAAGAAAGCTATAAGTGTGTACTAACATGCTGCTATATAAAATTATACAGAAACTATAATAAATTTTGCGAGAAAGATACTTTCGTATTACTCTCGTACAATAAAATGTTTCACGATCCATTGGTTCCAACGATAAATATCTACTTGCCGCCTTTAGAAGCGATGCTAATTAAATTTTTAGTTACGTAATCGAGGGCGCGATTTTTAAATTCATTGTTGCCAACCATGGACATATTCGGAGCCGCGCCGGGCTGACTAACTGGAATTTAAATTTTCTGCTGGAGATTCAGGTGGTAGCTCTGCTGTAAAAATATCAAGTTGACACATTTATTTATTTATTTCCTGACACTGTCATTCGTTTTGATACTTTAGTGTTGTATTACGAGTTTTTGGTTTAAACGAATTGTGTTGTGATGCTTTAAGCTTAAAATGTTTTACTAGCAGACCTTGCAGTCGAACATTGTTCTTTTTAGAACCTCTTTTAGTGCGAACTGTACAAGATAGCTTAATAGCCGTTGCAAAAAACTCATCGCGAAAGCGGTAGTAATGACCCTTTATGTCCCTTAAGTGCTGCTAAGGAGGTGAGTCTTTTCAACTAAAACAATAACTTTTTATATACAGGGTGGCGCATCTCATTTGCGTCGGTTTGGTTTGGTTTGGAAACGCAAAGATGTAGGAACAAAATATTTTATGACTATTTATGTGGGACGGCAATTAATAATTTAATATTATTTTGAAATGTACGGGGTGTGTCAGAACTAAGATCCATACCAAAGTTATATTTTTTCTTATGGAACACCCGGTATTTTATTCTATTTTTGTATTCTTGGGTATAAAATAAGGCATTTATTATAAGGGTTTAATATGTTTAAAAACTTTAGTTTTTGAGATATTTAAAGATATTTAAATATGCATGCTGTAATAAAAAAGTTTGTCAACACCTTGTACATTACTTTTCAGAATTAATTTTTGTGCTGACTCTCAAGCCAGAGAAATAAACTTTACTAAGAAATTTGATTGCTTCCTTAAATGTATACAGGGGTATTAAAAATTGCTGGTCTATTTTAAATATTTATTTTATATTAAAAGTTCGTTATTTCAAATGCAACACTATGTATTTTTTTAAATAAGTCGAAGCAGATTTAAATGCTCTTTCAAACTCTATTAGGGTTTCCTATACCTATCTGGCTCAGATTTTGAATAAAGAGCGATGTTTCAATAAAATTGTAATCAAGATGACTGGTGTCATCATGGCAATTTTCTAGTGACACTTAGTAGCTTTTTTCAAAATCGACATTAGTTTATAGACCTTATTTAAATTTATAACAGGTTATTTTTATTTAATTTACCTACAATAAAGTTAATAAGTAAGTATTTATTATTTTATCAATAAAAATTAAGCAGTATCTGCCGACGGAAGGAATAAATATATGTTACTAGTGATTTTATTTTGTGAGAACAATTGCTTGTTGGTCTGAAGGGTTTATGATCAAAGATATCCAAATAGGAATTTTCTTGACAGGCGTTCCTTTGAAAAAGTATTTTTCCTATTTCGCAGAGCAGATAGTGAGGTATATAAATAACCTATTAGGCAGAAACCTCTCGTTGGAAGTGAAGAAAATGAATTTGCCTTAATTGGTTCTTTTATAGAAAATCCAATATATCTACAAGTCATCGTAATATACATCAAAGAACTACTTCTTTATATTTCTTGACAAAATAATAAATCGTCCCATTGCTACCAAAAGTCACTAACTTACTTTTTATTACTTCCGAGAAAAATGCATCTAAAAATGAATTGCATTGCATAAAGATGTTATAGTTAGTAACTATTCGGTATTAAAATAAAACATAAACAGCCAGAAATCGTAGTTAATGACTTTTGCAATCGATTCTCCGCTTCAAAACATAGTTAGTGATTGAATTTGGTTGTTCGGAAAAATGTTAGTTAGTGACTTTTGGCAGCAATAGGACGAAATATAATACTTATAAAACTATTGTAGGTAAATTAAATAAAAGTAAACTGTTATAAATTTAAATAAAGTTCATAAACTAATATCGAAGCTACTACCTGTCACTATTAACCATTGAAAATAGCTAATACTGTCACTAGCAAATTGCCATGGCGACGCCAGCCATCTTGATTGCCATTTTTTTTAAATAGCTTTTTATTCAAAATCTGAGCCAGATAGGTATAGGAAACTCTAATATAGTTTGAAAGAGCATTTAAATCTGCTTCGAGTTACTTTAAAAAATACATAATGTTGTATTTGAAATGACGAAGTTTTTATGTAAAATAAATATTTAAAATAGACCAGCAATTTTTGATACCCCTGTATACATTTAAGGAGGCATAATTTTTTTTACTACAGTTTATTTCTCTGGCTTCAAAGTCAGCACAAGAATTAACTCTGAAAAGTAATGTACAGGGTGTTGACAAACTTTTTTATTATAGCATGTATTTTTAAATACATTTAAATATTTCAAAAACCAAAGCATTTAAACATATTAAAACATATTAAACCCTTATAATAAATGCCTTATTTTATGCCCAAGAATCCAAAAATGAAATAAAATAACGCTGTGCCGGTCAAGGCAACACGTGAATAAAAGTTTATTTGATATGATCTATACACATCAAACTAGAGTTGATCAAACAGTTTGTGAAAGCAAGGGAAAAAACAGGACGCTTTTCAATTTTTGAATATTAGATTTACTCCCTTTAGTGAGGCCAAAATCAAGAAAGAAGTTCTTGTGGGTCCCCAGATTATACAGCTTTCCAAAATTCGACATTTATTGAATACCTCAATAAAACGAGCTTAGGTTGCATTTCAAAACAGGTATAAGAACTTCTTGTTGTCATTAACATGTCTCTTAAGAGTCCATTTCACCAGTCCGAAAAAGTAGCAAAATACGCGTTCGGCATTTAACGTTTTATGTAAAACTGGCTAGGTATTTTTACACAAATAAAGAAGGAAATTAAAGATAAAGGATTATACCATATCCGTATTGAAGCACATTTTTAGACAACTTCTTTATTTTTAAGATTTTGATGGTCCAACATCAACAAAATATTCCTTATGTTTGGACTAAATTTTCTCGAAAATAAAGACATAATATAAAATTCCGTTACAATAGGGAAATAGACTGAAGTTTTGTGATTACAGTGTTTATATGGTTTTGTAACATAATTGCTGGCTATTTTATGGCAAATGCTGAAGCTCTGCAAGCCTTAATCAAGCCTTAATCAAAGCACGTGTGTTGGAATGTTAACTTAACACGACAGGATCGGGCTAATCTTTAGGCAGATTTATTATAGAATATAGTAAACGCCACGAATGTTTGGGAGTGATTCATCGATCGCTACCATGTGAACTAATCTGTTCAAGGTCACATAAACCTTAATTCCAGTGCCGTGTTGTTTCAAGTCATATAATAATCAATATATAATCTGTTGTAATTTGTTGTTTTAATTGTCAAAGTCTTGTCAAAACATATATTTCGTTATAAATATAAAATGGAATGCCCCATCGGTCGCACTGCAAGCACACCAATGGACTGGCGTACAAAAACGAATCAATCAAAGAAACGCGATATAGTATCGTCTTTGTCAATCACGCTAACACTTTAGAATAAGTAGGAGGAGCGCAGGCAGATGATTAGACCGGGCCTTTAAAAACCTACGTCTGCGGTAAAAATTTACGTTTTTAATGTAAAAATGATAGCTCGCGTGTCGATTCTAACTTTATCAAGCGATGAATCACTCCCAAACATTCGTGGCGTTTACTATACGATATTAATTTTATTGGTAGAATTTCTTTTTTTTTTCTTTTTTTGATTGGTTAGAAAATAACGCAGTTTTTAAATTTATTACATTTTCATGCCTCCGTTTATCGGATATACGTTGGTGTTATTTTATATTTTCGTTTCCATAACGATTTAGCTATTTTACTTATATTTTTATTAAGGTTAGATTAAATTTGTCAAAAAAGTGTCAAAAGGTCCGTTATCGTATGAACGGGTCCGTTGACGGGCTGAAGTAAAATAATTACGGATGAAAAGTGGCGCGAAAATGCTATGACCAATAAGAGCACCGTCGGACCATCGTATCAACGTATAACGGATGCATGAAAATCAAGCTTTAGGCAAATTTCTGAAATATAATATACACGGTGATCCCTGTAAGTCGGTCATGATTTCGAGGAATGATAGAGGACGTCGAAATATTAATTTTGATATAACACACTATGGGTCGGAAATGCCTCTTACGCAAGATACAGGGTGTTAAAGTTTTTGAAAAATTAAAGATATTCTTTAATAGTCTTTTAACAGTTGAAGGTATTGTTATAAAATTTCATTATAGGAATCTACCTAACAGAGACACTTTAAATGTAAAAAGAAGAGGTTTTAGTTTCAACCAGTGGCGTAGATGTGATACGCATTGGGTATTTTAAAAAAAAAAAAAAAATAACATGACCACTGATAAAAATAAAAATTTCGGAGTTTTTTTATTTACTCGGTTTATTTCCAAGAAAAAATATCTCTTACAACATTCTCCTATCTAACACCATTTGTCACAATTTAATAATAAATACATTTTTTAATGAGAATCTTAAATACAGCGAATTATTATAATTAGAAGGCAGAAACACATGTGCATCAGCTCCCTTCATCTTGGGTAGCTTTAATACTTTTTACTATTAGCTCTAAATAAATTTTTTAAAAATTATAAATTTAAACTAGAATTTTTTTTTATTGTTAATAATAAAATTTGTAGTTTTAAGGTAGTTATTAGAATTCGCATATTTAAGGTTCTTATTAAAAAAATATTTATATTTAAATTGTGACAAAATGGTGTTAGATAGAAGAAAGTTGCAAGAGACATTTTTTCTTGGAAATAAACCGAGTAAATAAAAAGCTCCGAAATTTTTATTTTTATCAGTGGCGTACTATTTGTTTAAAAATATTAGCCGATGCGTATCACAGCTACGCCACTGGTAGAAACTAAAACCTCTTCTTTTTACATTTAAAGTGCCTCTGTTAGGCAGACTCCTATAATAAAATTTTATAACAATACCTTCAACTGTTAAAACACTATTAATGAATATCTTTAATTTTTCAAAAACTTTAACACCCTGTATCTTGCGTAAGAGGCATTTCTGACCCATAGTGTGCTATATCAAAATTAATATTTCGACGTTCCCTATCATTCCTCGAAAGCATGACCGACTTACAGGAATCACCCTGTATATTTCCTTCGGCCACACACCCGCTTTACCCGACTCCCGAGAACGACCCGACAGTACAGCGTAATAGACTCTTAAAGTAAATTTTCGCACCAGAACTTCTTCCCTGAAAATTTAGGAGCAATCTCGGATGAACACGAGGAACGGGTCTTGACATTGCTAAGCTGGAAAAGAGATTTTCAGAGAAGTGGAAGGCAAGTATGTTAGCAGAGTACTGCTGGTTTTTGGGACGAGAGAGTTATACTTCAGGGTATAAATGGCAAACAAGTACCAAATAAAGGTAGAGATCTTTTTATTTATTGTTGTTTACAGCTAAAATAATATAATTCCCCCCTTTCAATCTCTCCAAATTAAATTCAAGTCCATAAAATTATTATTATTATTATGGAAAGCTTCATTCAGAACCTCCCAATTAGTGGAATAAATTAGTGGTTTCAATTAGACTGTACTCTTTTTAGTTTACGACAATTAAAATTAATAAAATATCCTAGCAACAGTTTGCGGTAGTCTGTTGTATCCATAAAGAAAGCATAATATTTAACTTATAAAACAATAAACTTTTGATTTCTAACCAAAATTTTTCTTGACAGGTGATAATCAAAGGCCAAATATGACATTCCTCCCAAATTTTGAAGCATAATCAGTGGAAAAGTCAAAAGTTTGTTAACTTTTTCCAATAATTGAAAATTACTACCACTCATTAGGACGTTCTGAATGCTTATATTAAAATTAGATGAACAAACTTCTACGGCTAATTGAAACTACTAATTTATTCCACCGATTTCGAGGTTCTGAATGAAGCTAAAATGATAAAAATAGAGGAGGGATCTCCCCCGAAAATGGTGGGTGGTAGAGGAAAACGGGAGCTATATTCAGGACGTCGTTGTACATAAGAATCGGCAGGAATGGAGCCAAAGTTTGACAAAAATTGTTTTTGCAGACCAGTGTTATTAGAGAGTACGTTGTATTAAATTAGTTTATTGTGATTATAGTTCTAGAGTAAATTAGTTTAAGTGTTTTATCGTGTGTTTTAAGTTTAAGAACGCACGGAATTCGTAACATTATTATGAACAATTAGTTTTATAAAAAAATATATTTACCAGTGCAAAATTGGGCACATGGGGAAGTTGGGGAGGTTGCACAAAACCATGATGAACATGATTCTTACGAGGACTTTTTCCTTTCTTTTTAAAATGCTTCTCTAAGTCGGCAGTAGGATCGTTTATTAAATGAGCCTGGTTCACTTCGTTCTTCGCTTCTAAGGCAGCTTTTATCACTACTTCCTCGTTGACTGTGTAATTTTCCGTGTACAGTGGACACCTACAAAAATTATAACACAGATATGATTCGTCGGTAAGAAGAATGACTATGATTTAACAAACATTAAATAATTTATTTCAGAGGCCATTTTGATTAACTCCGCACCCTAATGTAAATCGTTGCAATAATGCTTTGAATAAAAAGACTAAGGAAGGAGTATAATGTTATCCATGTATTCATGCATGGTGGGCGGAAAAGGGGCTCTAGGGATCCATTTGAATTTGACTTGAAATTTTGTGAATTTGTCAGTCTTCACGGAGCTTATTTTATGTTATTTATTATTTATTCCACTACTGGTAGTTGTATAAAGGTAGTAAATCTAGATAGCAATTGTGGCAGAAGTTAAATTAACAGTGACACTATTGCGATTTATCGAAAAAGACTGTAAAATAGTTGGTTGTGTAGCGTGCGGTAGATCTCGGTCAAAAATCGAGTGAAATAATGAAATAACTTTTCGCTAGTAAGTGACTATATAATATACATACACAGATACATATGTGTAGTAAACCGATCGTTTATGAAATTCACTTAAATTAACTAATTATATATTTTTTCTTGCATTTTTGCTTTTATTAACTACTTGTCAATGATTAGATGTCAAAGAATTTAGATACGTCAATTTGACTTACCTGCTTCAGTAGCGAATCGGATGTTTCTGTTAATAAATAATTATTATAACTTATCTATTTTTACTAGACTTTTATATTTTTATAACAATTTCAATAACTACCAACATTTATTCACAACGTAAAACAACAAATTATTGAGTCTACCCCACGTCTACCCTACATCATAGTTTTACACTTTTTAAATAAAATTAGAACGGAAGAAAGACCATAGAAACGCCTTTTGATTTTTAAGACTTAAGAATGAAATTCAACCATATTTTCATGTATTTCTTAATTTTCTCTGAAACGGTATGGAAATTTCAAAAAGTATAAAAGGGATTAACCATTTCAGAACAAGCAAATTTTTTTATGAAGAATGCATTTTTCTCAAAATGTGAATAAAAAAGTTTTTCCTCTTGTAAAGACAATCCGTCATGCGTCGTCTCTTGTTGTGTTTAACCAGTCTTATCGGTTTATTAAAAAAAAAAAACGACAGATCATATTTCAATATGAATGGAGTGACGGAACGATGAACGATGCCCGTACGCGGATGCCTATGTACCGGGTGGCCAACTAAGAATGGACGCCGGCTGTATCTCAGAAACTACTTATCGTATAACTTTGGGAAAAAAATTCTAATAAGTAAATCGACCAAGAGAAATTGCTGGAAATTATTTTCATGTTCGAAAAATGTCCGCTAGGGGGCGTTTCTCTGATAGCCAAATAGAAGGCTATATTTCTCTTTACACAGTTAAATAGAGCACACAATTTCCAAAAAATCAGCGCAAACCGCAACTTTGTATCTTCTCTCTAACCGGAGATATTAAGAGAACAAATCATGTTAGGCTGTCGTTTAAGATTATATGATCTAAAAATTATAGTAGTAGGCTAGGAAACAAAAACAGGTAACTTGGTTACGTCAAAATATCAAAACGATTAAGTTCAGTTTTCATGCATCCGAATTTAGGGCGTTTTCTTAAAAAAATGGCGTCATAAGTTTTTAAACGTGTTTATGTAACATTATGGTCCATCAATATAATTTTTTTGGTTAATTACGAACGAATTTCTTGGTTAATTATACGTAGGCAGATCTAAGATTAGCATGACCAAAAGTCGGACAATCAATAATTTTATTAAAATTTCTTGGAATTGACTTCACTTGTTTTCGCGTTTTACCTGTTGTTTTTGTTATTTATTATTATATTAAAGTTTATGTTGTTTGGGTCACTTTTCAATATGCACTACTGGTCCAAATCTAACCTTGATGCAAGTAGTAGTTCAGCACCAAGACATTGGTCGGTAAATGTTTAGGCAGGAATTCTAGGATGGCGAATGATTGGACTTTTTTAATTATCTGAATGAAATAATAAACTATCCATAATTTCTAAGAGACGAATTGCCAATTTTGTTAGGGGATCCATAAATTGCATTTGTTACAATATCATCAGCATGAATGTAGTTGGTGTAGTTGATGCAGTAGGTGCGGTTGTGCCGCTTATTTTGTTATGAAAGTGTGGCGCTTCTTGGATACCACTTACTTTAGTAGATAGAGACGCTGCAGCGGCATATTTTCCATGGCCAGATAGGTCATTCGATTCAATATGCCTGGATTTTAATTTATGGTATCGAATCAAGAACGAACATGAATAAATAACAATTAAATGGTATTAAAATGAAATTAAAATGTATGTTTTCATATTTTGACGTAAAGAAATTTACCTCTTTTTGTTTCCTAGCCTACTACCAAACTACTCTAATTTTTAGACCTTAAGAACCTTAGACTCTAATAATCCTAGGCGACAGCCTAATATGATTTATTTTCTTAATATCTCCCGTTAGAGAGAAGATAGAAAGTTGCGGTTTGCGCAGATTTTTTGGAAATTTTGTGCTTTATTTAACTGTGCAAACAGAAATATAGCCTCCTATTTAAATTTTTTATGCAAAAGCGCAAAATCTGTTATAATGTCAAACAGCGCCCTCTAGCTACCACGAAAAAAAAATATGGAAAAAAAAATTTACTGGAGATCATTAAGGAAGAAAAGCTCTTTTAAACGAGCCCTAGTTTGTTTAAATCAGCTAACCTAAACCAGAGTTATCCTTATTTTAATAAATGCAGGTTTAACCTTCCCCCACCACTTTATTTTATGAGATAGAGCAAAATACTCTATATAAAAAAAATTACAAATTTCTCGATGATTACAACAGTCATATTTAAAATACCTGTTCACCGGCATATTTTTGACCAAAACCCTGTTTTCTGATTGGCTATTAGAGAAACGCCCCCTAGCGGACATTTTTCGAACTTAAAAATAATTTCCAGCGATTTCTTTTGGTCGATTTACTTATTATAATTTTTTTCTCAAAGTTATACGATAAGTAGTTTCTGAGATACAGCCGGCGTCCATTCTTAGTTGGCCACCCGGTACTCTATTTAAGATTTTTGAAACTCGTTAAACTCTTGTCAAATTAAAGATTGTTATTTGTGAAATAAAGATACCACACCACAGGTAAATAATAATAGATTTTAGTACAAGAGATAAGGTCAAAAGCTAATAATATAATAATAGCTCCCGTATATAGCGTTTAACGCCTTGGGAGTAGCAAGGTACAGCTTGCTATACTAGAGCCGTTGGGTATACAAGGAAGGTAATGTGGCTAGCACTACGCTTAAACCGCCTATTATTACCTCAGGATTCTGAATCCCAAGTACTCATTTAAGGCTGAGTCGACCTAGGTACCCAAACTATTTTTATTTTAATAAAAATAGTCGGCTGATGTAATGCCGGGTGTGGGAATCGAACCCACACCTTGAGATTGGTAGACGAGAGCCTGTGTCTCTACGCCACCGGGCACCTAGGTCAAAAGCTACAGGTTTAAAAAATTTAAGATTAAAGTTAATTAACTAACTTTTAAATTATAAAATTCAGTAAGTGTATTAATAAAATATTTTGTTTTATTTATGTTGTGTTTTATTTATTCCTGGGCAATATTTTTTTTTATTTTTGTACATAAGTTATATTGATAAAAAATATAATAATAAATGCAGGGAGTTTGAAGGTAAGAAATACCGTATGATCGAAAAAAAATGGCGTCCAGTTGGCTTGGAAATGACGATCGATGACATTTCCCATATAATTTTACATATAAAATGACAGCGATCTTCATTTCATAGCCATCGCTGACGCCGTTTTTAGTCAATCATACGGTACTTATTTCTGTATTTTTTGTATTGACCGTTGTTTGTTTTGTATTAACAAACACCCTAAACTATTTTTTTAATAAAATACCTCGATTAGATTTTTTGAGTTTTATACAGTTTTTTTTTCATAATATGTATTTTGAAATAATCATTTGTCGCTAAAATTTTAAATATATTAATTTCCCGTTTAGCATTCCAATTGTATTAACTTATTTCTTTGAAAAATAAAATAAACTACTTTGAAATTAAAATAATATCACTGTCAAGGATTTTATAGTCGACAGTTGAACAGACTATACTTGCAAAAATATGATTTTTAATACTTACAAATCATGTCTATCACCTCCTTGACCATTAAAATGTTTATAACTTTTGACAGGTTGTCGACATATGTAGCACATCACTGCACCGCAAGAACACGTCATTTTGTTACAACCCTCTATCTTGATGAACTTCTTTTTGCACTTATAGCATTCCCTACAACATTTAAAAAAATATATTTAATAATCTATATGAAAATCGGAAAAACTTGACGTGCACGTCATCAAAATATTTGATGAATGTAGGTCGCAATGTCTAATAAAATTCGTAATTTTACTTCAATATAGACACTATACATTATTATCTTGTCTAATGATTATTATACAAACAAATTTTAATTAAATGAAATTATTAGCATAGTATAAGGAAACTAGTAGCTTTACTCCTTGTCAAAGCCTTTGTTCTTTTTCTGTCTTTATATGACCTCGTTCTCGCGTTTACGTAGCTGTATAGTCGAGATCTACAGGGTGTCCCAGGCTGAGCGTGCATTAGAAATTTCTAGAGAACTACAATATCTAGATCAGAGATTTTTTACACATCCTTGTTTTACGAGATCTATCGATTGAAAATATTTTCAACATGACGGCACTTCCGGAAGGAATAAAATTTTATGATAATTTTAAAAAATGACACACTTTTATATTATTATTTTCAGAGATTTTCTACACAACTTATAAAAATCAAGTTTAATTTTAACATTAATGTGTTTGTTTTGTAGTAATATTGGTTAGGTGATTTTCAATGGATAACTACATTGAAAACACATTATACTAAATAATAAAATAATATATTTAAACTTCAATAATTGCTAATAAACATTATAGGAACTTCAAAAGAGAAAAAAGCATGAACAAGAAGAAATAGCATAACTATTTTCTCACGTAACAAAAGAATAATTTTTTAGTTATTGTTACCGAGTCCTAAATGTACCGAAAGAACCGGGAATTTCCAGTACTTTCTTTAACCGGTACTTTTTTAAATTCCGATCTGGAATAAGCTTCTTTTAAACCTCAAGTTGTGGCCGGCTGTAGCGCAAGCAGTAGCGTGTTGATCTGCGGAGCGAAGGATGGGATAGTACTGGGTTCGATCCGCAGCCAGTACGGTTGCTTTATTTATTTAAATAAAAATATTTATTTATCTAAATAGAGCGACCAGCGAGCCGCTACCTCAAGGAAGGCAATGACAAACTATCTCGAGTATATTTGCCTTGTACAACCTCTCAAAATAGTGCCGTTCGGATTCGGCGATAAACTGTCCCGTGTACTTGTGAAACTAGATGATGACACACATCACAGGTACATGCAATAGGTAGCCGACGCTCTGTATAGAGTATGGCACTGTAAGAAGAAACCTCAAGTTCGTTTGGCCATTTAGATCATCGTTGATGAATATTTTAATGTTCATATGGTCACTAATAATGCCTGCCCAAACGTTGTGGAATTTCTCTGGCCATTTAGTATAGACCTCCCTAATTCAGTGTACGTGTTCGTCTACCCAGTATCGACAGTTCTGTCGATATAGTTGGCCATTCAATGCGAAGCTTGAATTGTCAGATAAAAGTATGTCCTTTGAATTAACGATAATATTGTCAAGTAAATGCATCATTTGCTCATAAAACTATAGTCTCCTATCGCGAAAAACAACAACTATGAAACGTTAAAATGATTTTTTATTTGGTATATATCTAAAACGGTAAATTGGTAAATGTCTAAAAAATTAAAGGCTCTTTAAAAACCTCTAATAATAAGTTGTTGCCATTATTTAAAGAAATACCGATATCTTTAAATTTCTTTTTTGAGTCGCACCGTAGAAATATTTTTTACGTGAAAATTTGTGCGACTTAAAATAATAAAGAGTGTTCAAACATTTTTAACTGGATTATTATGATAACCAAAACAGCACACAATAAGGCACTCATTTTTTGTCAGTCCGTCTCTGTGTTGGTACGCAACCCTCGAACCTCGCAGGCCGACCGACGGAACTCAAACTGAAACGCTCTGCAATCTGTCACAATCTGTCGAATTCGAAAATCTGACAGAAAATATTTGGGAGAGTGCAACTACTCCTTTCCTTGTACTATGTTATTAGCAAGTTTTCTGAATGAAAGTTGCAAAATGTAAAGTTCTAATTGGTTAACATAAGTAACTTTTTTTACTTCAACTTTTTTCTAATTAAATTAAGTTATTAGCAGGTCTTTTGGATGAAAGCTGAAAAATGTAAAGTTCTAATTAGTTAACATTAGTCTTCACTTTTTGTGGGATTCTACTCACATTCCGTAAACTGATATTGAGCGCAGCTAAAAACGTTGAAGGATTTATGTATTTTCAATAAAAGCCGCAAAACTTATAGTCTAAGAGCTAGCAACGTTTTCGAGAAAGTATTTTAAGACGTCTGGGGTGGAACCACAGAATAACTACAGAACGATCAGTCAATGTAATAAAAAAGCGAACAAAATTTTTGCTGCCATCTATAGTGGGCCGAGTGCGGCTCAAGGCTTCAAGGTTAAATTATGTACACTTCCCTCGCTCCTCGCCCCGCTAAATCAAATTTTAATTTCATATTTAATTCAGAATAGTTATTAATCCGAATGGGCATCTTATTATTAAATACAAAATGTCAATATAGGCACACGGGCCTACTCGTGAACCCATATTGAATTTTTTTATTTAATTAGATGCCCATTCGGAGTAATAACAATTTTATTTTAAATAAATAAAACACATTAATTAATTATAATATATTTATTACTTTTGTGTCGTTTTTTTAGATCTAAACATATTAGAACATAATTGCTCGATTGAATTCTTATTATCGGGATAAATATCGAGACACATACACAAGGAACTGGCCAAACACAAATGGAACTGGCCAAACAACAAACTACACACGTGAACGCTCGTATCATAGATAAATGAAACAAGTTTAGATTGGAAAGTGCCCATAAGGACAATGTAAACACTATTTGGCGCTATTCTTGCAACGGTCGCGACCCAAAACATTTGAAAAGTTCGGAGCGGTTCGGCTTTTTCCGGAATTATATCGCCAAATATTGTTTATTCAAATTTATTATTATTTGCTTTTAATTTTATAAATAAAATACAGTGTGTTGCATACAAGAAACTTTATTTTATATAAGGATATGTATGAAATACCTAGGAAACATTGGAAACCGACGTTATGCCACGATCCACGATGGTTTTCACAGTTCACAGCACAGCTTTTTAAGTTTTTAGTGCCACTTTTTCACAATTATCACCAGTTGGAGTAAATAAAACTTGAATTAAACTCACAAGATAGCAATAATTACTTTGAAAATGAACGTTATAAACACTTTTCGGAATTTCTTTAATGAGAGCGGTTTAGATTTTTTGATTTTTGAAGATTCTGACTTTGACAAGAGAAAATTATTTCTGTTTTTGTTTGCCGTTGTTCTTAGCGACCGCTATAGCAGCGCCAGATCGCATATAACGGTCGCGACCCAAAATAATTTCGCGACCTAAAATTTTTACGGGCTTTCCTATCTAAACTTGTTGCATTTATCTATGGCTCGTATAAAACTGACGCGACGCGTAAGAGCGCGGGCAAGCGGGCAACTAATGGTTTGAAGAGTGGGGAGTCAATCGAACCAATCATAACGTTTAAAATTGATATGCAATAATCAGGCAACCAAATATACACGACTTTAGTTGCGCCATCTATAGTGGGCCGAATCGTTAATTTCTAATTTAACGCTCCATAAGAGTGACTGGGCCCTGGGTGGAACTCTGTAACGAAATAGCGATCGGTAGCGATGAGGAATACTGCCGCTTGCATTTAGTTTGCACGGCCAAGGTCAGTATTTTTTATCGCTACCGATCGCTATTTAGTTACAGAGTTCCAGTCCTGGCTCTTTGATATATCTTTTACTATGCTCTCGGGAACAGCATGCGGCCCGTCTGGCTGCCGATACCCGTTGCTTTCACTACTGCGCATCGGAAGAAGATCCTATATTTTTTTAAAATTTAGTCCTATAAATTCCAGTATTGAATATAAATCGAAAATGTCTCCATAGAGTAGAGTTTTCGACTACGAACCGAGGATTTAAAGTTCGAATCCGGGTCAGGGCAAAGACTTTTTTATTTTATTTTCGTTTATATTCTGATAGTAAAGTATTAAATAATTCTGGCGATTCAAAAAAAAACAACCAATATTTAATACTTTACTATCAGAATATAAACGAAAATAAAATAAAAAAGTGTTTGCCCTGACCCGGATTCGAACTCTGAATCCTCGGTTCGTAGTCGGAAACTCTACGCACTGCGCTATGGTTCGATTTATATTCAGTACTAGAATTTAAAGGACTAATAAAAATATAGGATCTTCTTTCAATGCGCAGTAGAGAACACAACGTTTACCGGCAGCCAGACGGGCCGCATGTTCTAGAGAGCATAGTAAAAGATATATTAAAGAGCCAGACGTATTAAAATACTTATTTTTCCGACGTTGCTAGCTCTGGTTTAAGCTAGCTAAAGTTTTAAAAAAAAATGTTTAATTTTTACACCACTCGATCCTATACCTTATTAAGGCCTCAGTCATTTTGTTCTCGATGTATGTCCGGGCTTTGACGCCTTCATCCTTCTCCACTTCGTCGCACCGGTACGGCACGTGCGACGGCTCTTTGCACTGCCTGCACGACTCCTTCATGCACTCGGGGTTGAGACAGCGGAACAGCTTGTCACCGGGCGCGGGAATGGTGGCAAATTCGCAAAACGGACACGACTCCAGATCGTCCACGCCGGCCGCCTTGATTTCGGCTAGAGCTTTCTTTTGCGCTATCTTGGAGAAAATCTAAAGCAAAGAGAACAACATTGAATAACACAAACCCAAAAAGATTATAACAGTGCACCGTGCAAGAAAATAAGTTTTGCTTTAAATGAAATTATGTGTGACCCAGTGGCGGCTCGTGGTTATTATTGTAGGGAGGTCAATATCTAAAAATATTATTCATTGCGTCGATTTTTTTTATGTTGCGACCAAATTTAATTGATTTCTTACAAGGTACTTGTACGTTTAGTTAAAGGAAAATAAATCTAAAAATAAATACAAATTATGTTAAAATGAAACCGACCCTTACATTTTTAAACAGGTGGTCTAGAGCCATTTCACTAAAAATCCAGTCAATGTTCTTTACACAAATTTTCCACGGTAGGACACTTAAATAATAATGTCACAAAAATATAAATACATATACAGGGTGGCACACCTCATTCGCCTCGGTTGATTATAAGGAAACGGAAAGATCTAGAAACAAAATATTTTGTGGGTATATGTGGGGAGGCAATAAAAAGTTGATTGTTTTATAAGCTAATTATTCGGTTTCCTCTATGGATACAACTGACTGCCACAAGCTGTTGCTAGGATATTCTATTAAATGATCAGAGTTTTCAATAACTCGATAATAAAAAAATCTCATTTTTTGCGAATTTTTATGCACATCCCTTATAATCGGGCATTAGACAGTGCGGTAAAAAGTAACACCTTAAAAATGATATTTCATTTTTTGACGAATGCTTATTTATAACAGACACATTCATTTTCATAAATTATTATTATATTGATTTCTGATTCAAATCCACATTTATATAGAATAATTTATTAACGAACATATTTAAGTATGTAATTAATTAGTATTTGGGCGGAAATAATGGTGGTATATTTAATTAATGGTATACTCTTTTATAAAGATTTAAATATTATAGTTTTCTTTTTGCATACAAATGAGCTAGTCTATTATCATTTTGCTAAAAACGATAATATTACTAGCCTGTACATTTTGTACATTTGTTGCTTTAAAAACAATCTAAAATGTCAATATTCCATGGGTATGTTGATAAATGAGGTCGAAATTCTAATAAAATGCATTTTCTACGAAAACTTGACGGGATAGGAAAAAAGTGGTATAATACAATTTGATACACAATTCAATTGTGCATCAGATTCTCCTAAAATATACAGGGCGTTCCATTTAAATTAAACAAGTTATTGCCGTTTAAAGCTAGAAATAATTTAAAATAAATTTTTAGACACTCTGTATGAGGTAGTATTATTTTTATTATTGCAACACAATAACTAATCAATAAAAGACTTCAGTAAATATTTAGTATTAAAAACTTTGATACCATTGGAGAAATGAAGCCTTAAAATGTTTACTGCAATTTCACAAAATTGAAAATATTTCAAAAAGGGTAAGGTTTAAGTGTAATAAACCAATCAAATTTACCCTTATTTTAATCGTAGAAACTAAAGATGTAATAATATACAGGGTGTTCCATTTAAAAAAATACAACTTTGATATTTTTTATTTATTTAGGACACTCTGTATTTTGTAAAAATATTTTTAAATTGTAGCTCTAATACTCCGTGTCGTATGTGGTGAACAACCCTGTATATTATGATAATATGGAAGAAGCGATAACGGCAACAATTCGGGAAACACTAAATGTAAATACTGAAACAGGGGGGTTATGTTATAGACTATAGCGAGATGCACGACGAAAATACGACATTATTCTATGTTTGAGAACAGTTTGAAACTGAAACCGGCTTCTTGGAACAGGTTGTACCTGTTTCGCCCGTCGTTCCGTCAGTCCTATCATATTATTGTATAGAGTTGCTTGTAAACCTACACTAAAGTCGAGTTTATATGCATCCGCCAAGCCAATCATAATGAAGGTTGACCTGTCGCTTTTGAAATAAGCTAATAAAATTACGTAAAAACGTCAACAGACCACACATGGCGGATGCATAACCCTACACTAGGACTTACCTTCGGCGTCAAAACGTTCTGCAACACTTGCAATTCGAACTCGGCGTCGCATTCTGAGTTGAAGCACTTGAAATCGATTTTGCCCTCGCCGAAGGCCACTTCCACGCCCCTCTTGATGCAATCGCGACAGAATCGACATCCCCCGGTACAGGTTAATATGTCTTTCAGCATTATCTCGTTGTCATAACAACAGTTGCACTCCTGCAGCAGGCCCAGCTCTTTCGCATTTTGGCGCGCCAATTCGTCCTCAGCCTAGGAGATTAGAAATACCAGAATATTTTAGATAAATAATGTGATGCCAAAAAGTTTACAATTAATTAGATAAAAAAAGTAAAAGTAAAGCTTCATTCAGAACCTAGAAATTAGTGGTAGTCAGTTAGCGTAGAAGTCTCTTTTTCTAATTCCAATATAAGCATTCTTACAGTGCCATACTCTATACAGAGCGTTGGATACCTCTCGCATATACTTGTGATCTGTGTCATCAGTGTTTCACCAGTAACGAGATCTACTGTTTATCGCCTAATCCAAAGGGCTCTATGAGAGGCTGTACAAAGCAATTATACACAAGGTGGTTTGGCATTGCCTTCCTCGAGGTGGCCGCTCTATTTAGAGAAATAAATATTTTATTTAAAATATTTATTTCTTTTAAACAAAAGATGTTATCGTGGCTACTGAAATAAAAAAGAACAACACATTAACAGTAAGATTAGTCATGTCTCACGACTAATCTTACAGTAAGATTAGTCATGTCTCACGACTAATCTTACTGTAGGCTTGGCCAATAAATTCTTTCTTCTTTTTTATTTTTATTTAAATAAATAAAGCGACCCAGCCACTACTGGGGTCGAACCCAGTACCTCTAGCACAGCAGTCGACACACTACTGCTGGTCAACGTAAGCATTCAAAACGCCAAAACTAGTGGTGGTAAAAATTTTCCGTTGCGTTTTTTTTGCATCTGAGTGTATTTCAAAATTTGCGAGTCATTTTGGTTTTTGATATCATCCGTCAAGAGAAATTATGGGTAGAAATAAAAAGTTGATTGTTTTATAAGCTAATTATTCGGTTTCCTCTATGGATACAACTGACTGCCACAAGCTGTTGCTAGGATATTCTATTAAATGATCAGAGTTTTCAATAACTCGATAATAAAAAAATCTCATTTGTTGCGAATTTTTATGCACATCCCTTATAATCGGGCATAAATATTCGCCAAGTCATCATAAAAATTCAATTACATTTTACATAACAATAAACGGTAATCATTAATATTTTTGTCCTTCAAACAAGAAAAATAAGTATGAGGGTGGTCAAAAAAGTTTTACTTTTTTTTAATATGTCCTTTCTAAGTTTCAATCAATGTCAATTGTTAACAATACAGTATACAAACCTTTTGCTTTTTAATGTGTTGCAAAATTTCTTCTTTATGATCGAAATAAGCTAACTCTTGTAATAGCGGTATATTGTGAGAATCCATCTTGGTAAACGTCACCGTTTTCGACTTTTTTAAACAGCCTTGATTAATCCTATTTTCTAATGCCTGAAACAATACGAAATTTTACTTGATAGTTTCATATTAGAACAACGACACCATTAAGAACACCATTAAATACAAGTACTAAAAAAAGCTTTTATACGGTACCCATTCTGAAACACTATTAATTTCAGTTTTGATTTCTGCAGACTATTTGTGTAGTAAAAGTGACGTCGACTTTTGATGGATTCATTCAGATTATGTTAACAGTGTTGCTGGGCGGTGTTTGTAACATTTTTTTCAATAATAATTTTTACTGTTTTTATTTGCAAAAGAACTATTTAAAGTATTTTTATAGTTATTAATGATACAAGTTCGATATGAACATCATAATGAAACGCGTGTAACGTTAAGCCACGAGGCGTTAGCCGAGTGGCTTAGTTACACCAAGTTTCATTAAAAAGTTTGTATCGAACGTGTATCATTCAAAATTTAATCTACGACGCGACACGAGGGACGATCCAAAGAGATTTGATTTAATTTAAAATATCAAAGATATCCTCATAAAAATTAAAATTCAAAATTATCAGGTGCCCACATTAGTCGACGCCGTGGTAACCGTGCTTGTTGATTGTTTCCATTTTGACTTTGACAACTCAATTATTGATGTTCAATTTTGTGTTAAACGTTCAATTTTAGCAAAAAGCAAAAAATAATATTAATATGGGTGATTCTGATTCTGAAAGTGTCCCTTCGGATATTGAAGGCATTGCGCAAATCGTTGTCGATTCCCTACTTCCCGAAAAATCAAGACAAACGTACGAGCATGGGAAGCAAAGGGAAAGGAATCAAGAATAGTAGTAACGAAAAGGTTCTCCGGCATATTTTAAACATCTTTCAAAACATAGGAAGGCTTCATCACTTTGTGTATATTATTCCATGCTACATTCAGTTATATCAGTGAAGAAAAATATAGATATTAGTAAGTACGTCCATTTAATTGCATTTCTAAAAAGAAAATCGGAATTTCGAATTTCGGTCAAAAAAATCGAGAATTTTAAGAAAAGAAGACTAACTCGTTTTTTGTTGGAAGCTGATGATAAAACTTATTTCCTGACAAAAGTTTCATTGATAGTAGGACTTGCGGGAGCCTGCCGCCGGCGGCGTATCGAGTTGACAAATCTGCAGCTGCAAAATGTTAAAGATGAAGGACAATGCATTCATGTCATTATTCCATTTACGAAAACAAAGATATCACGAGCTTTTTTTATAACGAAAGGGAATGTTGAAGGAATAAATATGGTTGCAAAATGGTTCCAAGATATATAGCTATGCGGCCAAGCAACATAGAGCATACTCGATTTTTTATGGGGTACAGAAATGGAAAATGTATTAAGCAACCCGTTGGCATTAATATTTTAGAGAAAATGCCGTATAAAATAGCATTGTTCCTAAGTCTTCCAAATCCACAACAATACACTGGACATTGTTTCCGTAGATCGTCTGCGTCATTGCTTGCAGATGCAAAAGTGGATTTATTAACTGTTAAAAGACATGGTGGTTGGCACTAGTGCTATTATGAAAGCCAGGAGTAATATATCGATATCAAAATCAAATTTCTCATGTCAAAAAACTCCGAGACACCATTTTCATCCAAATATTGATGTTACTTTAGAAATTATTTTGAAAAAATGAAAATAAAAATGAAACTTCTACACCCTGTATCTTCGAAACTAAGGGTTTTAGGACATACATTTAAACGAACCATTTTACTTATTTTTATCTGTAGAATATGCTGCCGAAGTTTCCGGAATACAGTTCGGACCACCAATGACAATGATGAATCCGCCTACATAGGAATACATTAATTAGATTACTTACAGTGATCACAGATATAATATTCTTATTGACGTGCTGATTGACCAAATGATCCACGTCCCTCACGTACAGTTGATTGAACTTCTTTCGCATGAACCAACTGACGTAAAATCTGTCGGCCGACGTCGAAACAGTGCTTTTCCTATTGGGATCTTCGAATACTGATACAGGGTCGGGAAACAGTTCCATAAAGCGAATCACATCGAACTCCGTGGTGTATTGCTTCTGTTGCGCCGAGATTTGTTGTTTCCTTCCAATAGAAAAAGTCAAATGAGAAACCAATTATACAGGGTGCTTCAGAAATAACTGCAAGTATTTTAACTGGTAGTATGGAGAAACACGCCCACGAGTTTTTTTGCGAAAAAAAAATATTATATTTTTCTTGACATTTTCCGGAAAATGTTGAAAAACTTTTGAGGGCCACTGTTCATTCCCCGGAAATTTGTTTTTAATAAATTCGTTTTTCTTGAAATAAAAATTAATTTTTAATTTTCAAAGAGAAATACGACAAAAATAATTCGGATAAGGCGGGTTTTGTTACAGTATGATGCATATTGTCGGTTTTGCTGAGGCAAGATATTAGCATTTAACCCTAACTTGGAATTATTAGTTGCTATGTGTAGTAGTATGCTATTTTATTAAAATTAGGTCAGGATTTGAAATGGATAAAGCTTGATTTACATGCCTCCGTTATACGTTGATACGATGGTCCGACGGCGCTCTGAATGGTCATAGCGTTTTCGCGCCACTTTTTATCCGTAAATTTTTTACCCCAGCCCAACTTTTTTACCTCAGTGACCTCGTCCCTTTAAACTGCGACTTCTAGGAGACTTCCATTATTGCCATACTGATTTTAATTCCACAAAATTTCATCATAAATTATGCATGCTATAGTATAATGAACATATATTCTTATTGAAATATGATAAATATTTTAAATCTTTAAAAATTATTTATATTCTTGAGAATATTTCGAATATTTTTTGTATATATTTTTGATGTAATACCTGTATTTTAAGTAATTATGTAAAGTATGGCAACATTGAAAAAAATTGACAAGGTTGGACTAGGTCAGAAATTTTCTAACCTTATACTTTTTTGCTTGTTTGTTTACTTGTTTACGCTTTTACAAGTTTGTAAATTTTAATATTTAGTTGAAATAATATTGTAATTGTTACTTAAATAAGAAAAAAAAAGTTATTGTGTAGTGTCATCGCGAACGTTTTAATAGTTAAATAGATACTTTCTGGATACTTCCATAAAATATGAAAATGAAAACATCAGAAAATGTTACAGACATTGGCGAAGAGATATGAAGAGTATTATTTATAAAGACTTTTCTCTCATATTGATTTCTATGAAAGGAAAAATTGGTTAAAAGGTAACTGATAATTGAGATAAGCATACAATCTAGAATATTTAAGACTAAATTTTACAGATATTAGGAAACTCTTATTGTGGTGAAACGGCAAGACAGTATTTTCCGAAGAATTATTGAAAAGCAAGGTTATTTATTGTAAAAGGCATACATTTCAAAGTGACTGAATATTAAGCTAAGGAGATATAGGTATATTTAGGAGTATTTACTACCTCTAACAGTCAAGTGGAAAAACGAAACTTTTGTACGAATTGCTCATAACCAAGTTGAAAATATTTGTCTAACAGGTAACTATAATATAGACCTAATATATCAATATTTAAGCAAGTATTCTCTAGGCTTTTACGTATTTCACTCAACATATAGATTTATATTTCATCGAAGGGTGGACTATGGATATTTTGTTACCTCAGTGACCTCGTCCCTTTAAACTGCGACTTCTAGGAGACTTCCATTATTGCCATACTGATTTTAATTCCACAAAATTTCATCATAAATTATGCATGCTATTATAGTATAATGAACATATATTCTTAATGAAATATGATAAATATTTTAAATCTTTAAAAATTATTTATATTCTTGAGAATATTTAATTAAATATTTCGAATATTTTTTGTATATATTTTTGATGTAATACCTGTATTTTAAGTAATTATGTAAAGTATGGCAACATTGAAAAAAATTGACAAGGATGGACATGGGTTGGACTAGGTCAGAAATTTTCTAACCTTATATTTTTGTTTACGCTTTTACAAGTTTGTAAATTTTAATATTTAGTTGAAATATTTAATATTGTAATTGTTACTTAAATAAGAAAAAAAAATAGTTATTGTGTAGTGTCATCGCGAACGTTTTAATAGTTAAATAGATACTTTCTGGATACTTTCATAAAATATGAAAATGAAAACATCAGAAAATGTTACAGACACTGGCGAAGAGATATGAAGAGTATTATTTATAAAGACTTTTCTTTCATATTGATTTCTATGAAAGGAAAAATTGGTTAAAAGGCAACTGATAATTGAGATAAGCATACAATCTAGAATATTTAAGACTAAATTTTACAGATATTAGGAAACTCTTATTGTGGTGAAACGACAAGACAGTATTTTCCGAAGAATTATTGAAAAGCAATGTTATTTATTGTAAAAGGAATACATTTCAAAGTGACTGAATATTAAGCTAAGGAGATATAGGTATATTTAGGAGTATTTACTACCTCTAACAGCCAAGTGGAAAAACGAAACTTTTGTACGAATTGCTCATAACCAAGTTGAAAATATTTGTCTAACAGGTAACTATAATATAGACCTAATATATCAATATTTAAGCAAGTATTCTCTAGGCTTTTACGTATTTCATTCAACATATAGATTTATATTTCATCGAAGGGTGGACTATGGATATTTTGTCGCTAAAGTGAACTATGGATCCTAATGGAAGAAGATAACCCAGTCATTCTGCATAACTTTATTGATAAATTGTAAATTTTATAACAATACATTTTTCACTTTATTAAACTGACTTTTATTTTGTCCTACATTTTGTACAATAAACTTGCCTTTGCGTAAATTAGTTGTGCAAAAAGAGCAGTAATCTTGTCTATTCTCTTGAATTGTTATATTCCTTGTGAAAATATTGTCCACATAGTTCATTCCATTTTCAAGACCTAAAAAATATAAACAAAAAGTTATGGCCATAGTAGTAATCCATAGCCTTATACCTATAAATATCAATAATAATTATTGAATATTAAAAATAATCTTTAAATAGGTAGTTTTTTGAAAATTTTCATTATATAAAGTACATAACAGCTATGATTCTTGGGTTTCTTAAATAAAATTTAATCTTCAATTAGCTATTACACTTTCGAAAATATTTAAATTCAACTGTATTTCTATTCTACTTAAATTGATAATTTTTACTTGCCTGTTGTCGCCTACTTGGTATTTTCTTAAAATAGTATTTTTGTATTCTTTGGGGGTAGATAGAAACGACTCGAAGGTATTCTTTCTATCCAAACACCAACTAGGTATTCAACATATTCTTGACAAATTCACAAATCATACGGAAAAGAATTTTTAACGAAGCAATTTTAAAGAAATAATTCGTAATCTAACCCTTCAAAACATTAGCATTAGGCGAAAATAAACTTGTCAGATGGAAATACAATGTTGCCACGTATAAAAAATTTTACCTGAATTTTGGGAAACTTTATAATTTACTACAGTAAAATTTTTAGTAATACAAAAAAAATACATTTATAATAGTATCTAAATGAATATAACTTAGATGTAATTATTTTATTGCATTGTTATTTATATATTTAGTATTATAATTCGTTTTATAATAAGATATATTTTATTGAATTCAGTTAACTGTTTTATACTTGGCAAGAATGTAATTGCTTGGAAATTGTCCATTTAAAATGCGACCCCCGTCTGTCTTTTTTTAAAAATCGTTTCTCTGTCCCACTGTCTCGTATTGTGTAGTCTTTGCTACTAGTGATGTTGGTAGCGAATATTTCCATTCGAATATTGCTGGAAATTTCAGAAATTTCCGAAATATTCGGTCCTAAAATCGCGAATATTCGCAAAAATCCGAATTTTGCAAGATATTTCTTTTCAAAATTCAAGACATTGAGCAAAAATTTAACGAAAGTGTATCAAGTATGCCGATTCTTCAGTCAGAAGAAAAAGAATGCTTCTCCGCCTTACAAAATAAAAAGATGGCTCTTGAACCAATGCATTTTGCCGCGAATCTCTTGGACCCCTGTTTCCTGGGAGAGCACCTTAACAATGAAGAACACATAGCCGCTATGGAATTTATCAACAATATCACCAACAATCATCCTCAGTTTGTCATTAATAAGCCATTTTTACAGACGTGGCAAATTATTGCGCCAAATCGGGTTTATGGGCTCTCGAGTACGTTTGGATGTCAGTTAAAAATGTAGACTGTCTAAGTTCGTGGCAAGCAATGTGTAAAAATACTCAGTTGAAATATTTAGCTGTTGCTTTGCTGTCTTTACCAACGTCATATACAGCCAAAGAGAGAAGTTTTATCCATACTAAAAAAAGGAATCGCTTAACTGCACAAAGAGCCGGTAAAATAATGTTCGTAGCTCATAACAATAAATTATTACTACAAAAACAAAAAGTAGATATGGAGCATGATATTCAACAACATAAAATTCCTCCAGAACCACTAGAACTCGTGGAGGTAGAGGTTCATCCTTCAGAATCAGAACCAGATGATACGTCCAATATATCTGATTTGGAAATAGAAACTGACGAAGATAGTACTACTACTACTATAATACCCTATGAAGATGGGACCAGCTCGGCGCCTGATATTCCGGAATAGAATAATTCAGTTATTTGTGTTTTACGTTTTTTAAATTTATATTTCGTGCTTTTTTGTTTTTTTTTTAAATTCATAGTCATAGTTCGTGGTTTATGCACAAAATACAAATGTTACCAAATGATTTTTGTTATGGGTTATGTTTATGACTTTTATGGGTTATGTATTGTTTATTAAAAATATAACAACTAATATTATGTCTATTGTTTTTTTTTTCACTTACATGTTGGTATCAAATGTCTATATCTAATTTATTCCTTTATTGTATCGAAAAAAAAATATGTAAAATTGTAAAATTTCCTTATATTTCATAAATTTCCGAAAGTTTCAGAAATTTCCTGCAACAATCAAAAATTTCTGAAATATTAACATCACTATTTGCTACTACTCCTTAGTTTCATTCATTCATACAAGGCGAATTCCTGATGCGCAGTAGTGAACAGATGTTGAATACAGATATGATGCGCAGTAGCGAATGCAACGTCTACCGGCAGCCAGACGCACCGCGCTCTGTTCACGAGAGCATAGCAAAAGATATATTGAAGAACCAGCTTTCTTAAAATTCTCTCTGGAAAACGTTGGTAGCTCTTAGAATATAATAATTAAATATAAGCGGAATCGTTATGGAAATGAAAATATAAAATGACACCAATCACAAGCAAATCGTATATCCGATGAACGGAGGCATGAAAATGCAATAAATTTAAAAACTGCGTAATTTTCTAACCAATCGAAGTCTTTAAATTCAACCAATAAAATTAATATTGTATCATTGTGTCATCGGACAACGGGTGTATGAAAATCAAGCTTAAGGCGGATTTTGCAACTTGACGCCTCAATTGTGTCACAACTATCCTTTATTAGTATGTAAAGCACGTAATGCTTTTCCTCGTAGTCATAAATTTGAACATTAAGGTACCTCTACCAAATAAATAGGACAGTTCAAATCAGGTGATAAGGATTTGAAACATCAGATTTCCCTAATGGACAACAAAATTGTTCGACATGGATTGCTTCATGCAAAACAAAATTAGAATTAAAAGTTAGAATAATATATCCGGCAGATCTGGAAGGCTCGATGTAACTCCGGACCCGCGGTATAAAAACGACAATTCTACTAATTGGAGTTCGACAAGCTGCCGTATTCGTCACTTTAATAATCAACTAAGCCTGTAAGAGACAATGTTTTATTACCTTAAATATTCCTTCATTGTGGGGTATTGGTGATTCTCTAGAGAATCGTCTATAAAGCGTTTCAACGCGTCCTGATCTCCGCCGAGGGTATAAAGGATGCCCTCTAAATAAATAGGGTCGGCATCGGGTAAAAGGGCCTTTAGGGTCTCCAATTGTTCGTTTTCATCCATTTCGACCACTGGAGACGGTTCTCTTGGCGGTCTTTTCGGATAATTACCTCCTGCTACAAATCAGTTCTTATAATCATATTTTACTGGCAAATTACGGAACAAATTTCTTAGTTTTTCTTTATCTTTTTGTAAAGTTGTAAATTTTTACTTTGTTATTTGTGAAAATAACATATTTTCAATGAGTTTTCAACATAACTATAGTGTTCAATATGGAAAAGAAATATTTACATAATCACGGTTTATTTTCTTTAAATTGAACGTAATCGGCGAAGTAACTTTTAATAAAACAGAATCTTTTTTGCTTTAATATTTTTTTTAATTTATTTATTAATATCTCTGAAATTATCGAAACTCATATCTTAGGATTATGTAAAGTGATCTGAAAGGAAGCCAAAAATGTAATAATATGCAGGGCGTGTTCCATTTAAAAAAAGAATCATCCTGATCCACTCACACTTTTTTGAGCCACCCTATAGAAGTTAAAATATTTTCCTGAAACATAATTGTACATATTTATGTTTGCACTTAAACAAAATTCTCAAGTTTTTTATTCTAGGAGCTACAGATGCCCGACGCACTATTGCCGGACCCTGTACATATATGTATATACATATACTAGTGATGTAAACTTTAGTTACTTATATGGACTTGTAACTACTTGTTACTTTTGCTAATAGGACTCGTTACTTTGGTCTCGTTACTTTAGTTACTCGTTACTTTGGTACTTAGTATCGTTAATTGTTACTTTATAATCGTTGTTTTGTGTACAGGTTGGAAGACTTGGGCTTGACTTGGAACTTCGTTACTTATTGTGAGCGGCGATCTTCGTTGCGTGCTCGGTTTAACCTATAAGGGGTTTCTACTTTCTTCTAGTGTAAGGGCTTAATAGAATAATTCCAATACTCGGTATTCAAGTACTGAATAATATGTTTTTAATAATACGTATAATATTTTTGTAATGATATGTTATCACTACGTATTAATAAAATTAAAAATAAAAGAAAACAAACCAAACAAAGAAAATACGTGTATAATATAAAGTTTTTTTTCTCTGTTCCTTTGTATTTTACATTAATAATTATGCAAAAATTAAAGAGTAAAAATAAAAGAAATATATATATTTTTGATAAAATGTAAAAATATTAAAAAAATGTCTATTCCTCTGTGACGGATTCATCTTTTCAAAAAAGTCCTTTAGATTAACGCAGCAGTGTTTACTAAAAATTACTATTTCTATTTTGTAGATTTTCTTACAGTGTAAGTGGCGAAATTATAACGTGACTTTATTTTCCGAATAATATTTCTTTTAATTTCTTTTGTTTTTAATTTTTCTTTTTTATCTATTCTTTTTTGAAGAGGAAAAATATTTGCTCTGCTTTTTCAGATGTTAACATTTTTTGTGAATAACGTGAATCCATTTTTAATTAATATCTAAGACATTAATCTAAATAAACAATTCTATTATTCGCCCACCGAGCAACTATAAATCAAAAAATAAAATACACTTTACCCCTAAATAATATCTTATATTACTTATTTCAACTAAAATTGAAAAAACGTGCGGAATTACCTAAATAAAAAGCGACAACAAACGGCAAAGGGACAGACCGCCGCGCCGCCAAGTCGGCATGAGCCAATCATAATAATTGTAATAAAAATATCACACATTTGCCATCCAAAACACCGGCCGGCGTCAAGTCAACACTTTAAACATAAACATATTGATAACAACTAGACCTATGTCGAAGTAAGGAATACTTCAGTATCGAGTTTCGAGTCCTCGGTTCGTGCATTTCCAGGAATTACGATTACTGCCAGCGCAAAATTAACGAATTAGCTTAGTAACGAGTAACGAGTCCTAAATTCAAACGGTAAGCGTTACTTCGAGTCATCGTAAAGTAACTGTTACTTTTTAACGATTACTTAGAATTCTTACATCACTAATATATACCCACAGGGGAACTGTTTACATTTTATGCGAATGCCAACATCCTATTGTTATTGTTTAGTATGTTGCCGAGTATATCTCCGCTTTTGTTTATTTTTAATTTTGTATACGTATACTTTGGGGAAATCTTAAGAAAATAATAATATAATTCGCTTACTACTTTTCAAAATTTCGACATTTATAATTTTATTTAGTACTTATTAAGATTCAGTCAAGATTACAAGAAAAATAAACTTGAAATATTTGTAAATTTCGTCATTTTTCATCAGCCGTTAGGATTAATTTTTAATCTGACAATGCCGCTCTGTTATAGTATTTTCTATAGTAGGGGAATTGGACGCGGTCAACAGTGTCAATACTGTCGATAAACAGCTGATTGGCATGATCAGCTGTTTGCCGTGCTTTTATTTTTCCATATTTCTTAACTATTAATAAACTATTAATGTATAATTGTTTCATTTTATATAAAAGACCAAAATTAGCATTTAAAATGGGTCTACACTGGCAAAATGTATGAGAATTAAAGAATTTAAACATCGTGGAGTGTCATTTCAAAAGTAAGTACTGTTCTGTGGTAATACAACATCTCGTTTTATTTACCTAAAATATTTACCATATTTGTTTAAATTTGTTTATTTGTTTTATAATATAATTGGTAAAGGTGTGGATCCGGTGGCTGACCTTGAAGCCAATATTTGCTGCATTTGATCATCGATACTACGCAAGCGCACATTGTCGATGTTGCCAAATTGCAGTTTATTTTGGAATTATTTGCAGTTGAAAATTTTTTTTGACTGTTAATTGCTGTTAATCGATAATAATACAAATTCTATAATTAATTTTATCATTTCAGATTTATCTTGATATTCAAAATTAAGGTAAGAAGGATAATGAAGATTGTGAAATGAAAATATTATGAATATATAAAATTCTAATAATAATAACATTTATTTATATATTTACATTAGAATTAAAAATTATCATGTACGGATTTTTTCTTAATAGTTTTAAACTTATTAGAATTATTTTATTTCTTTCAAGTTATCTAATTTCTAGTTATTTACAGGCAACAATAGTTTTGATTATATGTATTGATGTTTTGAAATACTACCATGACGAGTCTTATAGAACAATACATACGTCAATGGGAGATAGAGGTAACTTATCTTACCTATAATGTTACTAATATAATATACTTTGATTATAATGTTTGTATCATAATTTCTTAAAAATATCAAGTTAGTGGATTAATAATTTTAGACCATATATTTTTATCGAAGAGTGTGTTGATAAAGACTAAAATAAGCTGAATAAAGCTTTATGTTTTATCTTTTCTCTTTAGAAGGGAGATGGTTTGTGTCGTAGAATACATTACAGCATTTAATATCGTGTACTTTGATATTCTTTTCTTAATTAACTGTAATTTCTTGTTACCTATAATGCCAAATCTTGACAATATGGTGAAGGTTGAGTTTTGATCTTATTAGTTTTATAGCTGTGTTTATACAAGACCAAATTAAGATTAGTTTTGTAATTGGTTTTGTGATTTAAATTAAGATCTTTCTTATAATATTTTTTATGTCTTAATCTTAATACTATATTATTCTTTGTCTGGAAAATAAATGTTAAAATATCTTAATTTTACATATCCTATTCCATCCTTCCATTAGGAAAAATATGGTTTATAAATCATATTATGCTAAGAAAATCACATAAATTAGGTGTAAGAGTAAAGAAATCTTAAGGTAGCAGAAAAATTAATGCAATATATGTATAAGCAAGAATTAAACAAGGTAACTGTAAATGTTGCTGAAGCTGATTCTACAATTTTAATTACGGAGGCTAAAAGGCCTTTTAAGGCCTCCATAGTTTTTGATGGAATGTTAAAAAAAAAACCTATTAGGAACATGACATGGAGCTACAGCATTTAAAAATTAAAAAAGAAAAACTTGGACACATCCCTTTTAATTCCCCGAATTTTTAATAAAGCACTTTTTAAACATATCATTATAATCTAGAGCAATTAGATTAATTATAGGAATCTAGAATTTTATTTCTATTTAATTTTATTGACTATGAAAATACATAATAAGCGTTCACGTTTCACGTGTTGTGCGAAATATTAAAATAATAATATAAATAATATACCGGCGTACTATGATTGAAAAAAACAGCGTCAGCGATGACTATGAAATGAAGATCGTTGTCATTTTACTTGGGAAATGTCCTCAATCATGGTACAAAGAATACAAGGTATGATATTGCGCAGGTTGGTCGCTACGTCACAGGTGATAACAGGCGCTATTGGTCAGCACGCTCCGCGCGCCAGTTCAAATCGTCAAGATATTGTTATAAACCTGTTTTTTTGTTTATATACCGTCATTGAATTATCGCTAAGCAAGTTACTGTGGAGCAGTGCGTAAGAGTCGGGCTAGGAAGCGAGACCCGAGTTCGAATCTCGGGCGGGACATAACTTTTATTTATTTTTTAAATACTGTTGTATTCTATAGTTTATTTTTTGGTATTGTAAAAAAAGAACTATTTATTCCGTTATTTTTTAATCTCCGTTATTAATATAAATTGATTGTTAAGTACAATACCTCATTTAATATAAAATAATATTCTACTTTTTGAAATGTATCAGGGACCCTAATTGTACCTAAAAAGTAATATATTTTTAGTGATATACCATATTGTAAATTATTTAATATTTCAGTCACTTAAAAAGTTAATTTGCATTGAATAATTGCCTACCATTAAAGGAAATTTGAGCTATATAATCCTTGATGGGCATATTCACAGGTATGCAAATACTTCCTTTAAATTTTGGATGTTGTTCCACCGATTTATTCTCAAAACCAGAAACATCTACATATAAAAAAGCACAGGTCACTAATTATAATAAATTTCACCCTTGATTGTATTACTTCCACTAATTATAATAAACTTCACCCTTAGAATTACTTCTATCACAATTACAATACGTTCATCTGCATTGGCATTTTCTACTTTTCGATGTGAAACAATAAACTTCCCAACATTTTTTAAATGATGTAACAATTCCTCTTGTGGTTACTTTTCCATAGATATCCTCAACTCTGTCCT